CTTGTAGAAGTTACTCAAGTGGCATTTCTTACGTGAGTCATCCTGTATACCATCACATTTCCAATAGTGCATTGAGATCGATACTTATAAATTATTCCCCCCCTTGGAATTACTCTTTCTATTGATTGCTTTAATTGTTGCCTAGTTTGTATACTGTACGTGTTCAGTTTTCAAATTTGCTTTGATACCGCCACAAATGCCAATCTTGTTGAGGTAGATATAACGTTTGTCCTACGTGAGTATCATAATAATGGATCATCGCTAATAGAATTGAGAGGGACTATGAAATTCGAATGTTCGAATTCTGATCAATAAATGATACGAATGACATCTGATATATCCACGTCAGTAACGTATACACAGAAACTACCCACTATTCTCTGTCATGCTACATTATCGGTGTACAATGTTGCCTAGAAAATCACGAATTACTCAAACAATGGACATATCGAACAATTTGACTCGGTGTTCAGAATTTCAATACGGTGTCCTGTAATGTACGAATTTCTTCATTTGTCATCCCCAATAATGCTCATAATAATATGTACTAACGTTTAATAATCAAATATAGTTAGATTGCAAGACAATCACAATTACAATGACATTGTAACTACATAGCTATACTACATTTACAATAAAAATTACAATGTAATTGTAAAATTGTAATGTGGGTACATAATTGTAATTATAATTATCCCGCAATTACATTGCAATTTAGATTTTGTAAGTAGATTATATTTTGCCCAAATGTGGTGGACAAGTTATAAAACTCACCTTGTACGTATGTCACTACGTCATATACAGGGTGCCTCCGAAAGTTATTTACAAGCGAGCATGAGGTGATTCTGTGTGAAAAATATGTTGAAAATATATAACATTTTTTATTTAGGACTTCGTTTTCGAGAAAGTCGACTTTAAACATTAATGTGCAACGTATGTATTCGTTATGACAGTAAGTAGAAATGAAATGCAATGGACAGACGCACTAGCCAAGTCCGATTCAATTGCACGCGTATCCAGCAGATTTTCAAATTTGATATTCTCGAAAACGAAGCCTCAAATGAATAAATTTTATTTTGCATTTTTTCTTCTTTTTTATACGAGTAATCACTATAATACATTACTGCTTGTACATAACTCTTTGAGGCACCCTGTATGTCGTATTTGTCCTTTACTTAACTTTAACATTGTGGCAATAAATGTATATTAGGGATGGGTTTCTTGAAACATCGAAACTTCGAAACCCTTCGACACCAAAGTAAGTTCCGAGTTTCGAGAATTCGAAACTTTAAATTTTTTTCGTGAATCCTGATTAGAAATTCTCGAAACCCAAGTAAGAAAAAATATAAAATTGATTAATGAAGAATCATTTGCAGCGTTCCCCCAGAATAATTCGATTCATGTGAATGCTGAGTGATCGTGTTTTATTTTTAAAGATATAAAATATAAGCATATTGACGACCAATTGTGATCGTAGAAGTGCAGTTCAAAAGCACGTGAGGATGAGGGATGACGCAACTTTTTCAAATGTTAGTTTTCAATTACGTATTATAGTACTGTTTGGTGGTACTAAAAAATAGGGACTGCTAAACTATCGAGTGTTAGTGTCAGAAAAGGATAAGTGAATATACTGTTACGATAACGTACAAAAATGTAGGTAATTCTATGCAAAACAAAGGAGAAGACGCGAAGAATGCGGAATGCGACTTTGAACAGTGAAGGATATAAGAGTCATGTCTCGAACGTATCTCATATTGAAATTCGTTTCAGTGAATTGGAGAACGCTTTGTCAGTTGTCGTTGTACTATATCGAAACGGTTTCCCGTTCTACATACTAAATTTGTATTAGAAAATTTAATAACGTAAAATCTTCGGTGGTTTCATTTTAGAAATAAATTTTTCGACCACAAAATTTGTAAAACGGCTTCCGAAGAAATGGTGGCATTACATTGTTTTTATTTATTGTTATTATTTTACTTCCTGATATTTAAGACCAAACACTTAATAATTAATGGTAACTGTAAAACGACTGTGTTCATTTTTAGTTAACAAGCTATCTCTCCTGTAAACATATTGTGTCATATATCTGACTGTCTGATATTCTTGAAATTTCATTGAATTAGGGGAAAGCTGTCTAAAACGATCCCTTTAAGGCATAATTTATATAAAAAATACAAATGCTCATTATTTAAGTAAAAGTAAGGTAGTTTTTGTAAGTTAACCTATCTATCTTATCATCAGATTAAATGAAATTTAGTTACGTGATCAATTTTTTTTTTTATTAACATTTGTTTGAAGGCATACTTAAGGAACATTTTGTAATATATGTGTATAAAATGATCCCCGGGGATTTTACATTAAAATACTGCCATGAAGCAATTGTGCTTCTTTCCTAAATAAGGGTCCAACACACATATATTTTTGAGTGTCAGAATATTTATACATACCTTACGTGTTATTTAAACAGCCTTAAAATATCTAGAATAAAGATGGTAGTAAAAAAGCGAATGATATAATTCAAGACATAGAGGGTTAAAGTTGTGAGCATCAAAATTAGTCGTTTCAATGGTCTCTAGTCAAACGATTTTTAGGAATGGGAAGTTTTAAATTTCATTTCTGGGGTTAGGATGTTTGAGATTTTCGGAGCTATACAGTAAAGTGTGCTTGATTTAAAAGTGAAAATATTATAACTGTACATTATTTCCCGTTTATAATTGCGTTTCGTCGATCACATTATAATGACATCGCTGTTCGTATCATATCGTACACGTCCAATTTATCCATTTTGTTACTCTAAAACAGAAGTGACTTATCTACCTGCCAATAAAATGATCGCAAAAATGTCTCCGCTGCTCCCGATAATCGTGTTATGTGGACCGAGCAATGTTGCATCATTTCATTGGCAAGTGAATCACTTCTGTTTGGCTGATAGAGTAGAAAGAGGATATCCCACGATATACATACATAATATAGTGGGTATACCGATGTGATTATAAGGTTATCTGTACTATTATAGTTATTTCATTATTAATAATATTAATTTTATGTGGATGTATTATCCTATCCTTTATAAAATAAATACTATAAACATTCATTGTATTTGAGCGTGAAATATGTCCAGAAAGTCTATAATCACTTTTATAGACTGTAACAACAAATAAGAAAGGTCGCATGAATATTTCAGACTACATCGCCTACAGAGCAGAAAGCGCGAAATGAGAATCCGAGAACAGATTGTGCATTTTAATACACTGTATCCACTTTGTAAGTGTAATTTATCTCAAAGTGACTCAAAGGATGCGTTTATATTCTCCTACAGGCAGGCATGATATTAAAGCTGAATAAACGAACATAATACATACTAACACAATACCTTTACACAAACATTTACTAATAATAATACGTTTCTTACATTTAAGAGAATTATGAAAAAATTAATGTGTTCCGATATTCTTACGTGACAGTTAAAAAATAAACGTAATCAGACTACGCATGGCCTGCTTTGTTTAATAATTCCGGTATTACGTATTGCTTTGTTATTTTAATAAAAACATAACTCTCTTTTCGCATATACGTACCTTGAACTCTATTGCGTAACAATTACATTCAAGCATATCTTTATAACAAATAAATAATACAACACTATAATTTGTACATAATTTTGAAATATATATTCACGCGAATTGACTGTCAAATCACGGTTTTTAATGTATTAAATCACTGAAAATCTTTCGATGCGTTTTACTGTAAAATTTAAAAGAATGGACTAATAATACATTTAACTATAATCATTATACCATCCTATTAATAGCAATTTAATAAAACACATAATGGTTCTTTTATAATATATTCTGTATTTCCAATAGAAATTTTTATTCAAACTTTTATTCTAATACAATTTTTTGATTATTATTCTGTGAATTTATGTATTTTAATTATATGATTAAATAAAACCTGTCTACCACAAAGTAGGATTGACGTAATAACTTCTTCAAACAGATCGCACGTATTTGTTTATTCTCTTCATTCTATAATCTCTTCTCAAAGTCAACTTCAATTTTATTTTTAACAATAAAGCACACTCAATTGCGTCGATTATTGTTCGAAACAACAAGTCACTGTCTTACGTTGACATCGACACTTAATATACCAACATCATTGCTTATTGTTCCCACAACACCATGGCGATCACATCATCTACACAAAATCCATCGAAACTTCTGCACTGAACCAATATTTTTGGAAAACGCAGTGTCATGCGTTCAAACTACTTCAGGGCGTTTCACCGTGGAACTGCGGGGTCGAATGCACGTAAAACCAACGTCATCGAGATTTCAAAATTCATAGCTCGTGAGATTTGAAAATAGTTGGGTATTATTGAAGCTAAACATTACTCGAATAAAACTTATTTCTTATTTGGAAATTGAAATGAAGAGAACAAATCTTAATTGATTGTTATTTAATAAAATCTAAAGAAATTATTTAAAACAGTACAGGTATCTATTAGTTACAAATGCTGCTTTAATTATCATTTGTTAATTACTACTTATTACTTGAAGGTCGTTGAATAAATATTCTACTTCTTTTTTCTGTCACTATGTTTTCTTACTCTTTTTAAACAAATTTATAAAAAACAATAATATTCACTTGACAACGATTGTTTAAAATACAGTAAGTAAAGGAAAACCGAAAACTGTTTGTACTTTATTCAAAATAAAAACTAATTTATAAATAAATTGTACATGGAATAATTGAAATACATATTACATACACAGTATAAATTAATTAAATTAAAAAACTATGCAATATTGGATGCGAACGTCTCAATTCTATTGATTTACATTAATTTGACTACAACACGTTATAATATGAAGAAATATCCTTGAAAAGCTTTTCATTAACGCTACATTTATAATGTTTATTTATTGTATCACGAATAACTCTAAATAATACGTAAGAATTAAAAAAAAATAATTAAAATATATTGTTTTGTATTCCAGGTGAGATGTCAAGATGAGGAAAGCTCGCAGTGTATACCTAAAAGAGCGTTCTTGACCCTGTTACGTCTCCCGGAGGTAAACTCCTATTTAGCAGCTTATTCAAGAACGGCGAGAGTGATTCAGAACACAGAGGACCGCAGTGGCATGGCACACTTGAAAGCTTTAACCGAAGATGGCGACGATGACACCGAAATCTGTATACCTGCTGGAATCTATTTAGAACTGTTCAAGGATCCAGCTATGCGTGGACATCTCAGTGTTATTGGGAGAACGCAAAAATTTCCAGACATATCGGGACGCCTTCTAGAAGATAGCGAAGAAATCGACACACGAGATTTGCTACCAGTATCTCAAAAAAAGAGTATCGCAATGTTGGCTAAGAACGATGATCTTCCGATAAGTCTCCAGGATCGCATCGATGAAAACCAGGACGATGAAGAAAAGAGAATCGATGTCTCGAGGTGAGTAACACATTTATTTGTATGGGTCTAAATATTATCTAGAACTGAATCTTTTCATAATTCTTGCTTGGATTATACAATATTGCGATTACTATACATACTTTATGTACCATACGTACAAGTAATAGGGGAAAGGTGTCTGAATAAAAAATACAAATGCTCATTATTTAAGTAAAAGTAAAGTAGTTTTTGTAAGTTAGTCTATCTGTCTTATAATTGCTTGGAATTCTGAAGCTAGTGATATTTGCTTGAGCCGGATATGACCATTAGTTAATGAGATATTTACTTAATATTAAAGTTGTAGTCTATATGCAGAGTGTTTCCGAACTGGTAGTAAAACCTGAAAGGATGTGATTTTTCATGCAAAAATAAACCGAAAATGTAGAATATATACATATATGTATAAATGTTCGGATACTTCTGGGCAGTAGTGTATATAAAAAAAAGCGTTCGACATAAAATTCAAAAATTTGGTTTGTTCGAACAGCGATCAGTCCGATCGAAACGTACCGGAAATTCCACACGATTATTTACTGCCCGGCGAAGCGTTGGATTTGGAGGCTCTCGCGCGAGAATACCCAATGGAGAAACGAAATGTCGGCACCCTGGCTAGGGATTTCGCGTTGCCACCGGGCAGACGAAATATCGCGTCATTGGTAAGAGATTACGAGCTTCAAACGAAAGGAAATAACGTTGGGGACCATATGCTACCGTTCACGGGGAAAAGAAACGTCGCCTCTCTAGCCAGAACTTTCACGTTACCGCAAAATGGCAAAAGGAACGTTGCATCCATAGCGAGAGATTACGGTCTTCCGTATGGGAAACGATATGTCGGTTCTTTAGCTCGAACGGGTGACATTCCGATGCGCGAGCAAGGAAAAAGGAGCGTCGCCATTTTGGCCAAAAATATGGCCTGGCCTGCCTCCTTGAAGAGAGGCAGTTCTGTCCCTGGAACCGTTATCTTGAGAGCTCTCGCCCGACATGGTAGATCGTTGGCGAGTGAATCGAACGCTAGAAACAATTACGAGGGTGGTATCTTTGGGGATGAAAAGTTGAACGATTCTCAGGCTATCGACGGATTTTACGAGAGAATTGATTCAACGAATAGGAGGCCGCAAAGACAGATCAGTTTCACCGATGAGTACCCCTTGCCTGTTATGCAAAACACCAACGGATTCGATTACGAAGAAATGATGGAGGCTCTTAGCGGTCAGTATCCGAATGCTGAAAAGAGATTCATGGGTAAGTAAAATGTTTATCGATCGTAATATGTTTAGAATCTTTGAAAGAGCGCAGAATTTTTGTTTACAACTTGATTTTGCTAGAATCTTTTAAAATGGAGGCTGTGAGTTTCACACTAAACATAAGATTCTATTAATATAATACTAATCATATTGTATTTTACTTTAATATCAACACTATAAGCTCGTAAATAGTTATATTAATGTTATTTTCATATTAAACTTGGGGTTATGAGTTTTTTATTTACTGAATGAATTCTAAAGTTTTTTAATTTAATTAAATTAAGTGGGACTTATAAAAAGCATAAATAGTTTTGTTACATGTATCAGTATTAATGTACGAAAAGTGATATGTATGACTCAATGAAAAGGTACCGGGTACTGTTTTTTCAAAGATAAATACAATAAGGATACAAAGAAATTATTTTATAATTATTTTACTTTTATATATAAGTATAACTATAATAATACAAACAATAAAGGTATACAGTTTTAATGCAAAAATATATTCATTTACAACAATACACTTTTGAAAATTTCAATATACATATAAGTTTAATAAAAGAACAATCTGAAGAAAATGAAAGTGCAATCGTTAATATGGGTTATATTAGTAACTTTTGCTTACATTTTATTAATTTTGATTCGTAGAAAGTTTCTTGAAATATTCGTCATGAACTTAACATAACATTTATAATTGTATAAAATATGTTATTATTATTTAGCTGTTATAATAGGTCTTCAATTTGTACATAACGGCAATTATATTATTTTACTGAAATTTGTTGGTCTTCCTTGTTCTGGGAATAAATCCAAGGCTTTAAATTTCGCATTGTCTTCCATTGATATTTTGGATGATCATTTACATGGCGCATTCCTTTTAAATCGCATCCAGCGAATCATTAACAAATGTATGGTTTCTAATGACAATGTATTACATAACGTACATCTGCCATACTAAATGCATATTCACATTTCTTTTGTTTAATCGAGAAAACGTAACTGCTCCTGTTAAGATATCAATATTTAGGCCAAGTATTAAATGAATATCTATAATTTCGAAACATATCAAGTGGGTTTGAATACATTTCTGATGTATCAAACGGGTGTCGATAGATTCGTAGGAGTATCAAAAGGGTATCGATTATGTTTGTTACGTACATGTTTGATCACTATTCAATACGGATGATTCCGTTTTTATGATTAATTTCCAGGCTGGAATCGATAGTATTGATTCGGTATCATTCTGATCTCTACTTGAAGATTTTTTTGTAGGATTTACAACCCTACTTAAGGTTTTTTTTGTTAGTAATCAAGGAATGTTCTTGTACAGTTGAATGTTTTATGGATTTCTAGTCTTTCGTTCCAACAATTGCTAAACGTGAAAAATTCGTAACTGAACGTAAATCTAGCACTGTCTGTGAATGTCAGAAACAGGTTCTATGCCAGAGGTGCAGCAGAAGGTAGAACGTTCCGGATATTCGGAAACATTTCAAGCAAGTAAAAGACACATTGGAGCTCTGGCACGACTTGGTTGGCTTCCATCTTTAAGGGCCGTGCGATTTTCACGATCACCCCGGTATTTCGTCGGCAGGTCAGACCACTAGGTTCTCACCTGTTTTCCTTTCTTTTCGTCTTTTTATGTCACTCTCTGTCTTTCCCTCTCTTTCTACCCTCCCACCTTTTCTTCATACTTTCTGTCATCCTCCTTTCACTTCGTCGCGCGAAATTATCATGCTGTCACGCCTACGCTAAATAAACTACAAAAATGTACTGGACAGTCATCAAGAGAAATTAGTTGTCCGAATAGAGGAATAAAAAAATAGAATCACTGCGACGAGAAACATATACGAACAAGTGGTGGTCCCTGTCAGAGGGGAACTCTCTTTGGACATTAGAGAAAAGAAAGGTAGACTTTTGATGGAATCTAACTGCATACATCGCACTTCTAGTGGCATCTGCAGTTACCATTTCATGGCAATCGTTCATCAAATGTACTTCCTGTTCTATTCCTTCCATTTCTACTACGTAGATAGTTACGGTAGTTATCTGCAACATTGGTGTTTTGATGTTAGATCGCTGTTTCAGTTGGTGGCAAACGTCTAGGCTGCTGGGATGCAGTTTAGCCGGAACGGATAGTTTTAGATTCTAGTTCTAGAAGTACTTGTTAGGATGATTGTGTTTATGTGTATTCATTCGTTTCACAGGGTTGTCTATTCATGGAAGTAGTATAAAAACGATTGAAGGTTAAAATAAAATTGTCTGCTGAAGATAATATTGTATACCAAAGTAGACGCTGTTTTTGACAGTAGACACAATGAAAATATTCATTCCTTTCTTCCATAGCATATACATATACAAGGTGAACCACGAATCGTGGCCAGTAGAGATTACTCTGTTCTTAGCAGTCCGATCGAACATTTTTTTATCAGGTATATCATAGTTTCAAGAGAGTTTTAACGTGATTACAGCAAATTTTTTGTCAACTCTTTTTTTTCATGATTTTTCAAGGTCACCTTCAATTTTTTGCAAATACACCTATAATTTTTTTACGCCTATCTGTTAGAGGATTTCAAGACGAATTCGGTAAATATCATAACATTACATGTGTTACTTTTTTTTTCATCTGGGTCGAGAAAAGATTAAAGAAATATTCGAACTGTAATATTACAAAGAGTATCGTATGCTACGCCATTGTACGCGTTCCGATGTTGAGCTCTTGCCTACTGTTTGTAAACACTTCGTTCTGTACATTGGAACACATCTAATGATATCTACTGATCACGATTCGTGGTTCACCCTGTATATACATATATTAATTTAGGTATGTTGATTATTAAATTATCCGTTCGATTTATCATTTATGGCCATGTTTTTTCATTTTTCTGTCCGAGAAAGAACAAATTTTCTCATCACTACTGATGTTATTCCCTTTATGGGCTATCTCACTTTTAGCACCCTTAGAATGCGACGGATCTATAGACTACCCTGTAGAACAATATTTTCTTATGTTCGCAGGCAATGCTTTGTTGCAAGCATTCATAGTGTTCATTCATCACTTTATAAATGTTTATTCAAACCATTACAGCCACTAATGACACGCGAAGATCTTTGATTCACAGATAGTACAACGCCATGTTCAAACTACTACATATGAAGACTATATTGAATATTTTAGAGCTATATTGTTGGTTAAGAATTTGTAAGAAGCTTTATAGTCTTTTACATATAGTAGGTACCTAACTCTAGAACCGTGCACCGGTGTTCTGACAATTTAATTCTGATTACCTGGGAGCAGGGCCGTTCCTGGGTCGTTGGCCGCCCGGTGCGAAAACAGTATCGCCGCCCTTATTAATTTAATATTATTCAATTAAGAATTTAATATGCAGTGTTAATATATGTATATATATATATTTTTTTAAATAAAACCATTCATTTTTTAAAGATCTCTGTTTCATTTTATAAAAATGAAAATTATTTTATGAAAATAAAAGATAATTTTTATTAAAAATTATACACAAAATGAAACAAAGATCCTTAAAAGATGAATAGTTTTATTTCAAATAAATATTTTATTCCATATATGAGTATGAAACTAACGCATAATGTTTGTAATAATGATGTTATGGTTGATAAATAGCAGCCATTAATTACCTACACGAATTTAATCCACTAAATATGGCTAAATGTCATAAAGATAGTGCATTCTGGTATACAAGTACTGTTACAAAGATTACATATACAATTAATTTGATTAAATTCTGTTAGACTAAAATTTGCATAATCGTCAGAAAACTTATGATTATTATTATTCTTACTAATACAAGTTTTACATATAATAAACGATCTGCGGCCGCCCCTGAGTTTGGCCGCCCAGGTGCGGGGGCACCTTCTGCGCTTCCGCCAGGAACGGCCCTGCCTGAGAGAGTAAATTGAATTTGTTTAATGATGTCCTTCTGAGAACAATTTAGAATAAGATTTCCTTATAGAACTGGTAAAAGTGAGGCAAAGAAAATACATATTAATAAACAAATGCGTCTTATTATGAATTTCACATAGTTTATTACCGGCATACAATTGCAATATTCGTAACACATATTAGTATTGTGTGATATTCGTATTTTTTAGATATTCGTATTGTCGACAGATTGAGAAATATAAGGGTAGTTGATGTGTACATTGCTCGTGCGGGTTTGAAATGAAAGCCACTTGTGCCTACCTTTTCCAGTCGATAGCATCAGGAACGTTATAAAGTAAAGTATAGATGAAACGTATAACAACGCGTTAATCGTTTAATCTTATTTGACTCCCTCTGTAAGACACAACGATTTCGTTATGCATTATTATATTACGCATCGTAAATGAAAAATACAACTATGTGAGTTGGAAAAATAATGACGCATTTATATATGTAGAAGGAAGTAAGTATAAGAAATTGAAATCTCTAAAAAATCTCGAGACATATATATGTATATATGTATATATGATTCTAGGGTTAAAGAAAATGTAAACTGGTATTGTGTTATTAAAATATAATTGTGTGCTGTTTTGATTGTGAAGTAGTTCCATGTTAAATAAGCTGTAGATGTTTTCGGGATCGTTTCAGAACAAATGATAACGAGCTGCAGAATTTCGCTCGCTATATCATCTTCATCAGCAAACATTTTATGTGTTTAATTGTGCTTGTATAATCATACTATCACGTGGTAATAGACTACTTGTTGTATTTTAATGTTACTATATTTTTCGAAAGAAGCAGTGTCTTTAGGGCCTTTGTATCTATCACAATTAGTTAGTAAACGTTTAAGCTCTAGCAGCATTCTATAGTTCGAGTAATAGTATATGGATTACGCAAACTTGCCCTTATATAGATATTAGTATTGTAATTGTAAAATATTTATGGATAATATTATTGTTACATATTTTGAAATATTTATAGATATTATTATAATTGTGAAATTTTTATTTGCGACCTGATACGAATGTCAATCATCTTTTTAGGGAGAATCCCTCAGATGGGTCCTCGTCCAACTACTCCTCCAACTCGTCGACAAGGTCGTTAAAACCGAACATTAAACCAGGAGCACCCTACGTTCAAGCCTTGCACGGAGATTGTCGACACGGCTTCAAAAGGTTCCTGTTGTTACCGACAACCGATAAATTTCTTCGTCAGAAATTTCCAAATTCCATCTAAATCGATTACTACATATTTAGCATTGCACACGAAATTAAATAGCATTAGTAAGCTCATTCCTGCACTTGTTTCCGCAAACAAAAAAGAAACAAGGAAAAAACATTGAGAATTCTCCACATGAGAGCTTTAAAGAATATCCTTTCTTAGACAACATCTGTGAACATTAATGTTTTATCACAAGCAAGGTATAGGATAAATTTTATGGGAGTTTGTATCACTATTTTTTGTGAAAATACCAACCACGTATGAAACTTCGATCGAGAACGATGATGCTGGGATTTACATTCAAGCCAGTCATTAAAATTAATGGATAGAAAATCGCTTAAATTTTTCTTATCTACACTGCTGTTTAAAAGTTTGGTGCACACTACATTTTTTTAAGAAACTTCCTTTCTAAAGAATATTTATACTATGATAATAATTTTTAAACAATTTCTTATTAATGTAGGTTCAGTGTATACTGAGTTAATTATGATATAATATTATAACAAACGCTGGGACAGTTCTAACCCACATCAAAGTTTCTTTGTACCTATGTGTTCCAGAACAAATCTTTACGCATGGGTTTACTCAATTATTGTTTAATTATGACTTTTTCAAAAAATGGTACTGACAACAATGGTCGCAACGAAAAGAAAATATATTGGTAAACGATACATATGTATACGTGGACGATGTTTATTGTAATTTTCTGAATGATTACGTGAACATTACAAATGTATAGTAAATGTTAGTATAATTATACAAAAATAACTTTTACTTATGATATAAATCAGCGTTAAATTATGAGTTAGTCGTAACTGGTAATATTAGTTGTAATGAAACGAAAATATATGTACGGAAAATCTTCACTTATTGAGAAAATGGCAGGTGCTCCAGACCTTTAAATGATGGTGTAGCTGTTTATTGGATATGTAAACATTGAACGCAGAAAAGGTATACGACAGGCTTCGGCTTAGTAGCTCATAGATCGTGTAACACAACAATATATCGAACATTAAATCCCTCGTGTACCACCTCTTGGGTCTGATACAGTTTTATGCGATTCTTCGTAAATAACTTCTCTCTCTTGATGTTATTTACGATAAAAAAAAAACTTCGGTATATTACGTTTATACTGTGTTTAATACACGGAGCAAATTATTCCATTGCTGGCAATTTACTACCGACAAAAATTTAAAGAATTACTAGAGAATACCAGACAATATAAAATTCCGTAAACTTCCTTATTTGCATGTTTCTTTTACGTAGTACTCATTAATACGAATTTCTTTTATCAAATTTCCGTTACAAATAGTAAGTTTAAATATTATACCGTTCAAGCAGGTTTTCAATTTAGTCGTTACTTCACAATGCCTTAAACGTACGTATGAGCCCTTGAAAGCATTAATGTTGTAAGTCAATAAATATGCTTCTGAGATTTTTAGAGGTGTAGAAAACATCTTGTGAAACCATCCTTGCATTGATATACTCATATGAGTATATCCAGATGTACTGATTACACTGACTGTGAGCATTATGTGTATAATGACATCATGATCGAGTTTGTTGATTATATTGAGTATCTTAACTGTATCTGAATAATTATATTAATATATGTAGATCAATGTCAACTCATATTAGCATAATATACTAAACATACTGTTGAGTTATTAGTGAAACTAAACATCCTCCTATGATCTTAATTAACATTTATTAATTGACTTCCACCATTCAACACTTTCAATGGCTCGTATATTTAAGTATACATTTAAACAAAATACTGAGCGACGTACAAATTTTTATGAAGTATTTATTAATAGATTACTGACATTTAGAAAGTGTATGTTATTGTAACAATTTTTATTCGATTCAATTATATTTGTCTATTGTATCCGTCAATAGGTGTGGTTAAAAATTTATTGTTTTAGTGCGTGTAGGATGTAAAAATTTCCTTATCCTTCTTTTAAACAATTTATACACCATCTGTACAACACCTGTGAACAAAGAAGGAATTGTGCGTTGCTCTGGTAGTATTTCCATATCGTGGTACGAATATTATAATTTGCTTTTCTTCTGAATTGAGAATTAGAATAACACATTCGGTGTTATGTTAAGTTTGTATGTATACGGTAATGTATTGGACATCAACATAGCTACGTACTCGATAATAATCAATGACAATAATATCGTGTTAGTGACAACGACATTGTGAAACTGAAATACTAGCTCTTTGGCTGCGGAGTATGTACTCAGAAACGAAATGTGCCAGTCGCACGGTGCAATGGTAGCAACAACCGTAGCGATATACATACGGCGCAATAAATACTGTACAGTGCGTGGCAGAGTTGGGCAAAATGTAATCTAATTACAAAATCCAAATCACAATTACATTGTAGTTACATTTTAATTGCAATTTAGATTTTGTAATCGAGATTACATTTTGGCCAATTCTTCGCGTCGTTTTTTATTTACAAAAATTATTCACCTACATTTTTGTTTTTCATTATTTTTTGTAATTTGCAAACATGGAATATATAATATAAATATATAAACATATATTTATATGTTTGCACCAGATAAGCATCTTGCATTGGACACCTTCAAGCCCTGTTCGCAGTCAAAGGGTTAAATGCGCCTACAAGCTGTTTCTCGAGGTTACCTGTATGTTTGTGTTTGTAGGTACGAAACGTGTTTCAAGGAGAATTTTTCAAGTAACTTTTTAAACATACAAAAATCTTGAATACGTAGGTAATTTTGTTTGTAGATTAAGTTTTTTACATCTTTATCTGCAGGAATCTTCTTTCTAATAAGAAACAATTTTACTTTGGGAATTTACATGTAGGTATTCGCTGCAAACACAAGCGTACTTATTCGACAATAAATAAAATAAAAAATAAAATAGGGTTATTTGATAGTTTCAGATATTTCTGTACTCGAGTTTAAGAAAATATTCTCCGTCTAATCGTAAAATTCGCTTGATAATCACAAATCTTTCGTATAAACGTTCTAAGTAATCTTCATTCAGACCAGCGAGCAACAATCTCTTAAAATGGCGTACAGACCGGGGTGCAATAGCTGGAAACACTGTGTAGTATCTCGATATTGACCAACTTTCGTTGAGCTGTATTCCAGCGACTGGGTAATGTTACCAAACGATTGTAAACTAATTTTATTTATTCGGCCGACTGTTCGAGACATTAACAAAAATATGTCTGTCCCGTGTTTTTTACTTGGCGTGTTTAATTTAAATCGATTAAAAGCCGATTTCAAGCGATTGTATCGTCGTCTGTATGACATTCTCCGGTTCTCTACGGTTGTCATTTGCAATGGTCGAAAAAGCAAAATCGAGGGAGCCGTGACGTGATCTTCGACATAATATATTGTACTAGTAGTCGGTGTAAATCTAGTGCTCAGGGCTTGCAAGCTCCATAGTAATAACGCAACTTCAGCTTTTATTTGTCCATAATACATATTTCAGTACTAGTAAATAGCGATAATAGAATATTGTGTAATATGTGTATACTAACGTAATTTTCAATCCGTAAGAAATCGACGTGGTTCTTTCCAGTCGACTAATATCATCAATTTATTACTAACGCGAACTGTGCATATTGTTTGGTCACCTTCGATTTTATGGTAATGTATTTATGTGTTTATCTAGAAAATAACGAATAAATGAGATGACAATAAAGCGATAATAATACTGATCAACGTCGCAGCAACGTCGGGATGCTTGCCATCTCTAACTTTCATTCATCTGTTTCACATAAACAACCCTTTATGTCGCCGACAGAGACGGGCAAATTCGTTATCTAAATAAAAAATTTCGAATAACGAATAAAAGACGAAAAAGTACACCGCCATTTTTAATACTTCTTCTCGAATGACTAGACACTGGGCAAACAATTATTTCATTTCATTAACTGTTCAAAGGTCAGAATGACGATCCCAGATACTGCTGCTTTTCACGAATAAAATTGTGCCCAACTCTGGTCGCCGAAAGCCGAAGGACCCAGCGTAGTCCTCCGCCACCATGCGACGCCAGGTCTGTTTATGTAGTGTCATGCACCCTCTTCCAAGACCGCACGCATTCTAGAAATCCTGGTTTAGAAATTCTCCAACGATCAATGAAGGACAGGCTATCCGCCTTCGATTTCGACTCCTGTGGGCCGTCAGCTGTGTACGAGCGATCACACAGTCAACGAGAATCGTATATATAGGGTGTAACAAAAATGTTGTCCGACCCGGAAATGGGGCACTCGGGGGGTGAATTGAAACAAATTTTTCCTGAGCAACAATGTAATTCGCGGCTTCGTTACCGAGATATTAACGAAAAACTCCGACCAATCAAAGCGCGAGTTTGCCAGCCGAGTTCCCGCGGTAGCGTTGGCTACAAATCACAGCACGTAGTCACCGCTAGAGGGAGAACTCGGCTGGTAAACTCGCGTTCTTGTCGCCTCAAGTTCATGATTGCTAAATGATAATATTTTTTTTACATAATACATCGCGCTTTTACGAACATTTTTATATGATTTATGATAAGAAATAACTAAGGATAATTATTTTCTATCCTGAAGTTAGTTATTATATTATAAAAATTTAATATTAATAAAAATTCACGATAGTGTTCCATCACCAGGACGTGTCCAACCACTGAGACATTTACCTTATATGCAATGTACAAGAGAGACAGTCGATTTCGTAGAATCTAACTTCCGCCTTGATAATTGCACAAATGAGATTTTCGCGGGTGTAGTACTCATGGACTTCACTACAGGGTGGTCTGGATCTTAGAAACACCAAAAAACACCACATGAGTTGCATTCTCAAGACGAGTGCAATTCAACGTTAATTTTCTGTGATGTTGTCAAATGTTCGTGGCTGAAATATTATTAAGTAGCAGTTTGCATTAAGAAATAACAAAAGAAACGTTTGCAGCAAATCATGTTACGGGATGGATGCCTTGGCAGGAGTATTTTTGCACGATTGTTGCCCCATATGATTTACCATTTAATTAGATGATTAAAACTATAAGAATTATAAATTGAGAAACGGACCGAAAAATGTTGAGAAACAGATAAGCGAATATGCTTTACATATTTAACGGTAATTGTTATAATTTTTTGAAAAAGTATAAAGCATCTCGTTATGTATTAAGATTTTAATTATTTTTCTTATAAATTTTCACGTACAAAGAATTTATTTACATAATAAAATTATACTAAATAAATTGTACATTTAAAAAACAGCTGGAAATTGCTCTAGAGACCATATCAATATATGTATGCACTTACAAAACAAGTGTTCATCAGAATGTTGAACCTAATAAACGTTGCAAACTATTTATCAGAATAAGTTTTTATCTTCTTGTTGCTAGAATCATTCTGTATTAATAATTGTACGAATACAACATAAATGAAATGGGTTCATCTATAGTCTATAGCTGTAAAGAGTGCAGAGCAATAAGTAATGTATAAAATGTTGGAAGTACATAGAAAAATGCAGTTGATAGTTAACAACATATTTTATATACACATTTTAAAAATATATTTTACATCAGTATCATTTCAAATATTGGTACATACAAAAATATTTTGTTGGACGTATTTACAAATTGCCAAATTTAATAATAAAATCCTTGTTAAAAATACTATTTTCAATTTCATTAAATTCCCTATTTCTTCATTAACATCAAGCAAGTAGAATATACAATGCGCCCTGCTTATTAAAAAAATCAAGGTCTGTTGTTTGAGGTATTTCAATGAGATTAACAGTAAATGTAAAATAATTAACAATCAAATAATCACTATTAATGTCTTATTAATAAATAATTTATATTACTTTTCTACAATAATGTGTATGTTGCAAATAATACAAAATAAAAGTGGCGCTTTTTATACCTGTCTACTTACTTAATTTATAATAATATTTTTGTACAAAAATTACAAGACAATTTTAACAATTACGGAATGTGAGTAATGTACCATGGAGTCTCTATCTACGTCTGTTTACATTGTATGCCGACTGTCGATCGTTGGCCTTTGACGTTCGACGCTCGACGCTGTCAGCGCGTTTTTTCGAGCTGGTTGGCTGGCCAAATTTATTTATAGATTTACTCGAAGTTTCCGGATAAAGATAAAAGTGAAAGATGAGAGTATCGTCAACGCTATGCGTGAAACACTATGATTACAAAAAGTAACTTTTACTCATCGGATAATTCTCGGTCAATAAATTTATTTAATCGACGCTCGTCGATAAAGTTACTTTTTTCTTCAAGCTGTGAGTAACGATAAAAATTTGTTTAACTTTATTTTTTTAATCACGATTTTTATATATATAAAAATTTTTCCCGTCTCCGGCGAGGGAACGAAGTTGAAGAAGAAACTCCCCTTGCCGCTGTGCCGGCCCGCTAATCATTCCGTTAACTCTCCATAGTACATAATAAACCTATTTTGAGCTGGCAGTATAATACAAGAAGGAAATACAAAGTTCATTAAGAAAAGTAAATCTGCCGTGTGAACAAGACAGAAATGGGTCCGAAAACTCACATTCACTAATGTTCACAGAATCATATTTCCTCAAAATATTCCACCCGCGCTTCGATGATAATTGAGTTGAGTGTGTTGAGAATAATCGTAACCCTGGTCGTACCACTCCGCTGCCGATGCAGCATTCACGCTACCGGAAGGTGGTGTGCCAGTATGTCCCGTGTGTGCCGCATGTTGATGACTCGATGGATATTCACCTTGAAAGTGACTGAACTGTCCCCAACCGAATTGCGCTCTACACCAATCAGGGTTTCCTGGAATTTAATATTATTATTGTATAATTTACTGTTAATTAGTTTGTGATTATATGCTAACGCACCCAACACAGTAAATATTGTGCAAAAATATTGAGCAACCTATTACAGTAGACTACATATCTCCGTTATTTTTAGAGATATCAAAAAAGTTTAATCGGGGGAGTTATTGAGTATTGAAACTTTTTACTAAAACAATATTATATACACGGCACTTTCTGTGATGAAAAATATGCGAGTCAAATGCGACACCGTGTGTATTGCGTTCCTTCTTTGCTGGTCAACAGAGTGGGCTATGCGCACGTGTGTGAGAAATATGTATCAGCGAGGGGCGTTCTCAATATACAATAAAAGGGACTCCATTTAACGAATGTTTACTGTATTCCTATACAGTAGACAATCGTTTAATGTAGGCCCGTTTATTGTACTTCAGGAATGTCCCTTACTCACATGTATTTCTTCTCATACAGGTGCATGCACCCCGTTCTGTCGCCCAGCAAGGAAAGAATGGAATCATACTTTTGGAATCACTTTTGTGAATAAACATTTTTGATATGTATAAAAATAACGGAAATAATTAAGATGATCAAAGAGTGTGTACATCCACGGCTCGCCCTATATATAGCTACGTCGCACAATTGAACAGATGATTTACGGGGAGAGCTCGTGGGTGATTGGAGCTCGCTTAATGCAATATTCCAAGAAAAACTCTCTACGGTTTCAAATGCTGCAATAAACGAGCTTCTATAGTAAACAGGTTGTAGAAATAATTGTTTCAATGTCCGGTAGATGGCAGTGCATGATTGACCCATAGCATATATAATAAACTGCGCGTTCTTATGGTAGGGATAAAGTCGGTACTAGAAAGAGAGGACAGTAACTGAGTAACTTCCCTCTCTTTCTAATGGGGCTCTTGGTGGGGGGTTCTCCTACGGCTGTAGTGGAGATATTACATGCGTGCAACATTCCTTCCAGAGGTGGACAAACTCATTATCTGGATAAAAAGTTTCGAATAACGAATAATAGATAAAAAAAGTATTTTATTATTTGTAACTGTTTAAACGTTGAAATTTTAATTTTTATAATAAGATGATACTTCTTTATGAATGAATCGACATTTGTCGAATAATTATTTAATCTCATCAACTGTTTAAAGTTCAGGACGACACCCTTAGATACTGCTGCTTTTCACTGTGTATTATTCGAATAAAATTCTGTCCAAATCTGATTCCTTCTTCTCATCGCCCACCAGTCGCTTTCCCCCCTCCCACAGCGATGTGCGAGCAAAAGAGGAGTTACTCCAGCGCTACTTCTGTCCTTCGGTCTCGCTTCATCCCTACCATAAGACTGCGCAGTCTTATTTATCAGAATTTATTATATGTATAATATGTATTGTATATTGTATGTCTATGGATTGACTTATCCAATAGGTAAGTGATCAAATGTGTCCAGCCAAAATACAAATTATGTAGGTCACAGTAGGTTCGAAAAAAGAAGCAGTGTTACAATGGGTAACATTTTGTGGGTCTATACAAAATTCAATAAACAATTCAAACACATTGGTGAAAAGAAACTAGTTTGATTAAAATTGAAACAAATTAGTTTACATACTTTTCAACTTTAATAGAAATAAACAATCAAGAACTACCTATACCACTACCTCACAAAAATTTCAGATCAGTTACTGAACAAGTATTTAAATTGGACTTTCTAATGAAAATCAGAGAAATAATAAAATTACAAACGAATTTAATATGACATGATTTTGAATGAAAAGAATGCAAAAGGTCATCAAAAGATCGTATTTCTCTATATTACACAAGTCATTAGTATTTTATTAAATAGAGGGGTATGCTCTTTCATAATGTAATGATACTTCGAATTGAGTTAAGTACCCTCAAGAGCAAACTCGGTTTTCACTGAAAGAGTGACATAGGGCAAGGGCTTCCTACAACTTGATAAATTTATTCCAAGTACTGAAATAAACGTTAAATTGAATGTTAATTTGACACACATTTCCGAAACCAAATGGCAGAAGGTCCTTCCTCTACGTCACTTTTCCCCTAGTGGAAGCCGAGTTTGCTCATAAGTGTACAAGGGCCATACACTTTCATATTTCTCTCTTATTACTTTATTTAAAAATATATTAACTACTCTCTAGCTAATGGAAATATATTTTTTATATTATCCATAGAATAGAAGATTGTTTCACATTTTATTTTTCTTTGTTAACTATCTACGCAAATACGAGGATTGTACCGCTGAAAGTATGAAACACTGAGATGGTAAAGTAAATGATAAAAGAATTTAACAACTAACCTGCATTGTGAGAAAGTGTTGTGGGTGCTCCATGAGCAGCGGGTGGTTGAGTCGTGGGAACCTGTCCGATTTGCATCGCGTGTCCTTGCAACGAACTAAGGTGTCCAGAGATGGATACTGTGTGACCTGGAAGGACGCTGCTAATCGTAGTCGGCACTTGGGTAACGGAAGCGCTGTTGTGTATTTGTGAATTCGTCCCTGGGACCTGGTGAACACCAACGTTTTGCTGCTGTAATGTTGTCGGACTGTGGTGCAACGCGGTTGGTACCTGTGGTATTCCAGCTGACATTTGAGGTAGTTGCGGTAGTTGTCCCAACTCATGACTGGCTGCATACTGACAGGGAGTCAAGGGTAAACTGGCTACCGAATGAGCTATGCTGCCAGCGTGTTTTCGCAGCCGCGCTCTACGATTGCTGAACCATACCTGAAACAGAGACGACACCGATTTACCCTTTCAGTACAGCAGAGTACATCAGAGAAGTATTTTCGTTCATCACGTGGTCATGCCAAATGGTTTTATGCAGTTTTTAGAATACACTAAAACCTCAATTATCCAAAATAATTAGGAGACAAATCTGTTCTACTCGACTCTTCGACTAATTAAATTGTCTAGGACAGGGGTCGCCAAACTTTTCAGAGGGAAGAGCCAAACCTGTCCCTTACAACAATTTAAAAATTATTTCAGAGCTATAAATATATTTTTATAAATAAGGAAAATTTAAAGTAACATTATAACGAGTTTTAATATTAATTATATCTTTATTAAATGAAGAAAAAATCTTAGAAAAATTGCTTTCATTGATTGTATTTTCATTTTTAATTGTACTTCAGAGTCACGTGTAAGTAGGTACCCAAAGAGCCGCATTTGGCTCGCGAGCCGCAGTTTCCAACCCCTGGTCTAGGAGGACCAAAGTTGCAAAGTCATAAGACAATTGAGAATAAAAGAATTTTGAAGGACAGACGTTTATTGAGTGAAATAGCACAGAATAAACAAACTACAGAAAGCAAATAAATTATTTTCCGGTACGACCAAGTTTCGTACTCTTTCTAGAATAAATGTTTGAACATCTATTTCTTCTGGTGCTCTAACCCATCTTTATCTTTCAACTTCGGATTATCATTTTTTTCGGCAAGAATGGGTTGGAAACAATATCGTCTTGATTAACATCGTTTTCAATTTGGCAAGCTCACTTCAGAGTTGCAGCTGGTAATGTTCCGATGTTTTGCCTAACATCCGTAACGTCACTTCAAAGATTCAATAACTGGTACATTAACTGACATAAACGAATTGTTTCCCATTGGCAGAATAAATAAACTTTATACGTACTAAACTTAGGCGAGATAATAATCTCGGACACTTGAATTATGGAAGATACGCGTTATAAAATGTGAAAAATGTTAGCATATAATAATTCTGTATTTCGATAATGGGTCTTTCGAATAATTGGCATTTGGATAGTGCGCTTTTCTATTAACTGCTATTGTTTTTACTCATTCCTCGTGTCTATATGCCCTTTGAAATGCGAGATTGACAAAAAGTAGACGTTAAATTAAAACACGTAGAATGCTAGAAGCAAATATGTCTCGTTTGATTCTGTAACTTTTGAATACAGTAGAATTTTGAAAAAATTCTTACACGACGAGAAACCTTGATTGTTGGGCAACATAATCAAATTTTAAAACTTAGAATAAAATGGACCGGTTTTTTTAAATAAAACTTCCTTTAAAACCACTCATTTATTACTTGTCCCTACCCCTATGATTGTAACACCGTAATTAACACTAGAACTACCATGCAAGTCAAAATGACTTGCCTATACATTCTTAAAACGATGATTAAAATGTTATAACAATCCATTTTCTCAGATCTTTTGTAACTTTTATTACGATACGACATTAAAGAAATTAGTTAATTCATAAATTTATAAATTTTCCAAAGTTTGTCGTATTTATCGATCGATCGAAAAATATATGCGTTTATCGTTGGTAATTCTAGTGTTCAAGAAAACCAATTAAAAGGAAAGATGCTTTTAAATGATATTTTTATTTAGTCTACAGATAAATATAAAGATGAATATAAACAGAAACGTAACACAAAATTTTAAAATTTGTAAAAATGCAAATATGTATGTAGTATTAACAGCTTTTTTTTCATGATGTTACAAATTTAAGTTAATTACGTTTGCCGATTTTAAGGTGACTGAAATGAAGTATGTACACTGAAATACGATATTTATTATGTCACAACTTAATAGATTGGATTTCCATGTGCGATAATATACTCACTTGTATTCTAGCTTCCGTGAGACCAGTCCTTTGGGCTAATTCTTCCCTGGCGTAAACGTCTGGATATTGTGCCCTTTGGAACGCAGTCTCCAGTTGCTCTAGCTGTTCTCCGGTGAACGTAGTTCGGCTTCTACGCTGCTTTCGCTTCAACGGAATGCCTGGTTCGCTTTCCGTGTCCGATTCGTCCCCACAGCGACCTGTAAGTCATATAATTATTGTTTACTACGTTATCAATTCATTTCCAATGCATAATAAAGCTTCTGCTGATATTCAGTTGAATATACAATTTTCTGTATTTTTTACTTCTCATTGGTTTTCTTTTTCTGTTTCTATCTAATTTTTCAAAGCTTATCTATTGTTCAAGTCTATTTTGACCCACGATCTAGAGACCCTCGTCGGACACTTCCAGCTTTCGACGACTGTCTTAGGCCTAACACTATTTATACATATTAGAGCCTGTAATCGCTTGGAAAGTGTGGAAGATGTTTCATATGCTTCGGCAATGACAACAAATATAAATTCAAATGAGACAATTGCCAATGATATACGTGCATATGCAAACAAATTACTCACATCAAATTACCTTCCCTCCCATCCCGAAACCATGCAACTTTTAATTGAAAGAGGGGATCTATTGAAATGACTCATCTTATATGAAAAGAAATCATAAAGTGTAGGTACCGTCGCGTTGCCTAGAAAGGTATTCAGCGTTGAGGAGTGCCAGAGATAGAAGAGTACAGTTGGATCTCGATTATCAGAAAAAATGGGGAGATAAAAGTGTTCGGATAACAGAACTTTTGGATAATAGAACGACACGTTTGTCGTGTGAAACATCATATTTTCATGATACGAATGAACAGAAAAGGGATACGTAGTGTATAAAATTTTATGCGTCCCATATATTTTTGGTCGTTAAATCGCATACACTTTTTTTGTAGAGTTGCATTCTTTTTGTACCTGGAACTAGGGATGAATCGATACAAGTAAATACGAGTACATTACTCGATACTTTTGTTTCGATACAGAGTACTTTTGGTATCGATAGGTACGCTTGCGATACCAAGTAGGTATCGAAAAAAAATATTCGTATCGAATGGAGTGAGTATCGACGCATCAACATTTCATATGGTAATTACTTTCAACACAGAACAATATTGTTTATATTAATAATCAAGGACGGTATATTTAAATATTTTTAATATTAAAATAATATAAGTATATATGGTTATATATTTAAATAAATATATAGAGTATAGTATTGTATTTTATTTTCTCTTAAGTAGAGATGGCGTGAACTGCTACTTGTGAATCACTCGTGATTCGATCACGTTCATTTCCAATCACGCTGATTTTACACAGTGATTCGTGATTTTTCGTGATCGTTTCTGATTGGTGGAGAAACCTAACAGTTCTTTACACGCGACACGTAATCTATTTTATATTAACGACATCAAAACAAAAATTCGAGTTATATCGTATAAAGTAAAGAAATAATTACAAACAATGAAGAATAATGAATAAATTAATGATTATAAATTATAATCTCATGTTACCTAGCAAATCATTCTTATAGAATTTCTAGTTTTTTCTACTGATTTTTAAAAACACAAATATTAATGTAATTCATCGTAAAATCATATTGATTACGTTTTTCTGTTTAAAGATCAAGGACTTATAAACGCAGTGTGCAAATTCAGTCAAGATAAAAAAATCGCAATCACGGTCGTGAATGAAGTTAAATCACGACCGTGATCGTGATTCGGCGATCTCTGTGATAAATCACCGTTAGTGATTTTGCACGCCATCTCTACTCTTAAGGTATAAACAACGTTTGTGTTGGGTATCAAGGTTAGGGAAATATAATTCGATACAAGTAGGTATCGATACTTTTGTTTCGATACCGAGTAAGTATCAATACCTTCATACAATACTAGCAATAAGTAAAAGTATCGATACCTTGGCGGTATCGATTCAACCCTACCTGGAATCATCTTAACATTGTCTGAAGAACCATAAATGTTTCCAAATGTTGTATTCGTTCACTACTTCGATATTATTTAGAGTACTGTGGAGAATATAATCGAAATGTATCGATAACCATTGCGACATGATTATCATTGTGTTGAACACACCTGAAGTCTAAAGAACATTGTGCAGATAATAGAACGTTCCGATGTTTGGTTAACGTAGCGTTTCAATAATCGAGGTACTACTTTATTCTGTATACGCAACCCATTCGTCAAAAGCATAACACTTAAAAAGTTAATGTCTCTATGAAACCGTTGTAAAAGCATTTCTTCTACTCATTCGCATCGATAAACTATTTTACGAAGCAAAATACGGTCACACAATAATTATTGACCGGTAATTTTTTCGTAGTCAGTACATATTATAATGTTATAAAGGGTTTGTCACTTTTGTATACACCACATTTACTTAAAATAAAAAATTGAATCGGTGTACATATAATTTTCTACAAAATTTCTGTTCAATGTTGTGATTTAACGTTAATAGGTATCCTTATTTCATTGTTTCGAATTTAGCGTTAAACATTGCATTTCATGATTCTTATTTTATACTAGATGAATTTAACATTGAAATTTATTTTTAACTTTAGATACAGTTCAAATTTAAGATTCTTATTTAAGTAATTTAAATATCACGTTAAGATGCCCTTTCTAGTAGTTTCTGTTATATAAAATGAAAAAGTGTACACATTGAACACGTAGCCTTAAACTCGAAGCACTCTAACAATAACTCTAAGGAAATAGCGTCTCGTTTAACATTAAAATTGTATTTTATTCATTACATATTTTCCAGAAAGTATACAGAAACCACCGATAAATACTCGAATTCACGAAAATAATTTCGATACGAAATACATTCTCATCTCCAATTGTGTTTCACTAGCGCGACAAATCGTTCCCCCTAACAAGGATTTACGAAAATATCATTGAACGAAATTTCCGTAACTATTCCAACGATTTTTAAATCTTCTTACTCATTGTGTTACATTTAAAGTATCGTTGAAAAGCATTTCTTTCCCGCGGCCTTTTTATGTCTATTTCGTCGAGACCACGAAAGATGCACTCTCGTACCTATTTGTTGTCAATAACAGAAAAGACATTGAGCGTAATGTACAAGAAAAATAAGCCAAAAGGATGACCACTGCGATTACTTAGAAATAGTTAGAAAACGTTTGATTTTAAGTCGACTCCATTCCATTGTCCCATTTTTGTCCCATTATCGTTCAATCGAGCATTTCAACGAAGTCCTTTGTACCTCTCGCGAGGATCGAAGCTCAACGTCGAGAAGCACTTTCCCTGTTTCCCTCCCGTTTTGTTCGTTCATTGCATTCAGTATTCAACGACCCTACAGTGAAGTCGAATCAAATCTCACGCTCGATTTGACGCCGATTCCTGACGTGTTTCGCGCGTGTACCTTTCGCAGACAGAACCGAACCAAAAGAAGACATTGAGAGGAGGATGTCTGTTTTGACAGGAAACTGCTCGCACCTCGATTGCTCGTTTCTCGACAAGGGGATTACTTCACTATTCTGTTTGCCAGTCTGTGGATCAGTTTCATGGTGCGGAATTAAATGCCATGAAAACGAAATTTATTTCACAATTTCCGAAACATTGTTCAGTCGATGCGCTTGAGGGCCGTTTGACTGATTAATTAAAGCATGAGTCAGGCAGGACGTACGTAGAATTTTTTTTTTCGTTCCATACTTTTTTTTAATTGACCAAAAACGAGTGATTTTTAGATGAAAATCGCACTTTTTCAGGAAAATGTCCACCATTTTGTTCCTAATCAATATTTCGAAAAACCTCACGTTCAAGGACAAGATTGGTTCTTCCATTACATAAATCTTACTGAATTTTTAATTTCAGATGAACCGTTACGAAGTTACAGTGATCACGGCAGACCACTTTTTGTGAAAAGACATCCGGGAGATCGCTTACCATTTATTTACTAATAAATATGTTTAAATGAAAAAATTACCTTATAATCTAGAAACTGCAATCTTCGAAACACATGCACATTTTTTGCAAAAGGTTTTATAATTTTTGAGAAAAAAATTCCCAAAGAACACTCTTTTTTCGGTCTCCTGACTGAGCATGACCCCTTAAAGCAGGAGTCAGGCAGGACGTATGTAGAATGTTTTCATTATAGATCGTTTGAAAAATAGTAGTAAGAAATTTTACCAGCTAAATGTGATCGACCCTATAGTCAAGCCTGTAATTGTATGTATAATAATTGTCAATCATATCATTCTAGACTGTCCAAAATTTTGCAAATGTGTGCCAAAAGAATGTGATTGTAACGATCTTAAGAAGTAATTTTAGAATAAACAAGATCCCTAAAGTGTTAACGTCTCTCAAAGAAACGCAGCGAATGAAAAGCCTACCAAAAAGAAAAACACCAAGGAAGAAACAGCAATATCTCACACAGAAAAGCCGTAAATTATTCAATGAAATTTTAAAGTGAGGACCAAAACTGTCAGGAACATCATGTTCGTGTATCCTTACCATTATTCGCCTCCAAGGAGTATCAGGCCTCACGAAACGAGTGTATAGGTACGTATGTATGTATATGTAACGAAAAATAATGAATTCCGGCGTTCTCGTGGCCAATGCCCATGGTAGCAGTAATGAAATATCGACGAATACTTTTTTTCGGCTGGTCAAGTTCTCCGCGCCGCGCCGTCCCACTACGATGTGACAAGAATTTAAACCGGGTGCCCGTCGGCTTTATGGTAAATGCAACTTGTCTCCGGAGCATTCTTTCATTCTTCCGTTTGCCAAAGAGAAAACGGCCTCTCTAGACCGGCAAAGGTGCCGCCAAAGGGGATCACCAAAGATTTCCTGACCGTTTATACGGCAGGAAACTTCAGTTCTCGCACGGATATTAAGCCTTCGTTTCGAATTTAAGGTGCATTCGTGTGTCCCAAGTTACACGCGCATATGTAATATCACTGTTTGCCTGTTAGAATGTGAATCTTTTATAATTCCTTTGTACCTTAATGAATTTCAAGCACCTAAGTAACATTTTTCTTAATGTCATCGTGGAAGTTGTATTCCCATTGAATGCACGGTCTATCCTAAATGTTTCCAAATTGAAATTGAAACAGCAGTTTTTCGTAAAATGATGACGCTCTTTATCATTACATATTAAAAATAGTTCTCTTTTAAAG